ATTGCCCACACGTCGAGGGCCTGTGACAAGACTAGGATCCATTTCAATTTTTCCTGTAAAGGAGAAGAACCAAATGTGGGGGTTCAGTGCACACTTTCTGCCCGACTGGCCATACCCTCATGCCATCTCCACTGCCCCTGTGCCACCCGACAATCCAGAGGGGAGGGGAAATGGACAGGGGTGTGTGCTGCCATTTCATCCAGTACCTCTTCCCCTAAAAAAGGCAAAATAAATAAAATGCCCATCAGTAGGGGTCTGGATAAATCCTGGTACAGCCAGACTCTGGAACCTCTGTAACCACTGACAAGATAACAGGAATGAGGGGCCTTCTCTCTGGTCAGATATGGAAGGAGCACCAATGTACGCTGATGAGTGAACAAGAAGGGTTAAGAATTGGGTGCGTGGCTTGGTCCCATGAGTGTGCAAAGCAGAAGTGCAGACATGGGTGTTCCCATGGCCAGGCATGTGTTTGAGAGCAGATCACTTCCAGAAGGACATCTAGGACCCTGGTCACCGGTCTTTTCCAGCCAGTGGAAATGAAGTGTACAGGAAGCCACAGACCTAACATTTTTATTTTTATTTTTATTTAAAGACTTATTTATTTATTTATTTGACAGACAGAGATCACAAGTAGGCAGAGAGGCAGGCAGAGAGGCCGGGGGTGGGGGGCGATGGGAAGCAGGCTCCCTGCTGAGCAGAGAGCCCGATGCGGGGCTCGATCCCAGGACCCTGAGATCATGACCTGAGCTGAAGGCAGAGGCTTTAACCCACTGAGCCACCCAGGCGCCCCCAGACCTAACATTTTTAATTTGACCTGTGTCGGTATCATATTGGTTGAGTTTGTACTGCTTTTGTTCATACTGCTTTTATACATTTACTTGCTCATCTTTTTCAAAAAGAAAAGAAAAGAAATACAAGGGAAGATGTGCGTCTTACTGGTCTGGACCGCCATCCCAAAATACCACGGGGGGATGCATTCAGACCATAGCAATGTGCTTCTGTTCACTTATTTCCCTTCTAGACGTCCAGTTCAGCCTTTTCACTTCTCTGCATCAACTCTATTTACCATATGGATGACTTCCTGCCTTCTTTCCGGGGAAAGGGGGTCGGTCAGTTCCCCCACTTCCCTAGAGCATCCTGAGCGCAGGCAGCTGCCAGGCCACTGAGACACGTGCTCCCTACCCAAAGTCCCAAAACCAAATTGTCCCAGGGCAGCAAGGATGGCAGATTCCAAGGATGGATACTTTGCTTCTCCAAAATCGAACCCCCAACATCCTTCAGTAAATGGTGGTCTGGCTCTGTTTTATGTCGCTGCAGATCACGAAGGCGTCAAGGAAGAGGCTCACGGTGAACCTAGCTTACTCGGAGAACCACCACATCCGCGTGTCCCAGCAGGACTTCCGGCTCTTCCGTACCCTCTTCCTGCTCATGATCTCCTTCTTCATCATGTGGAGCCCCATCATCATCACCATCCTCCTCATCTTGATCCAGAACTTCAAGCAAGACCTGGTCATCTGGCCTTCCCTCTTCTTCTGGGTGGTGGCCTTCACATTTGCCAACTCAGCCCTGAACCCCATTCTCTATAACATGTCACTGTTTAGGAATGAATGGAGGAGAATTTTTCACTGCTTCTTCTACCCGGAAAAGGGAGCCATGTTTACAGATACGTCTGTCAGAAGAAACGATCTGTCTATTATTTCCAACTAATTAAATTTTCTCCATAGGCAGAGTTGATCACCCTCTGGAAGACCATAATATGTTTTCAAAGGGAGTTAATTTCCAGGACTGTCACATCCATGTAGCCTGCTTCAAGAAAGTGTAACCTATGCAAACACACATTTATAGCACCCGTCAATTAAGGGGTGATCGTTCAGTATAACAGTTTTGCCCTTTATAAAAACGTTTTGCTGTGGCTCCTTTTAAATAGGAACTTTTTTCAGTATGTTTGTAATATGATTGAGTTTAATGAATTTTTATTTATAACTTCAGCAATCCCATCTCTTATGTGTAAAGCTGGTTTCTGGAATGAGTCTTGGAAATGATCCAGGGCCCAGATTTCTCCTTGAAGGGGTCACGGCCATCTAGGTACTCCCCTCCCCAGACGTGCAAGGCCTCAAGACCATTCACTAATGTCAAAAGCACTTGAGGAATTTCTAAGGAATAATTAAAGGTGACTTTAGTTTTTCACTTATAAGAAATGCCACGGACCCCTTTAGGAAAAGCCATGTCATGAAATCAGAGAGGAGATAGGATGATTCAAAACATTGAATGTGAAAGCACGAGAGATTCCCTTCACGAATCCCCCTGCGAGGTCCTCTTAAGTGCATGCTGTGGTCGGACAGCCATAGCCCCTACCCTTATGGAGCTTACTTACCTTCTATTCGGTGGGGGGAGAAGCCCTAAACAGAAGTCCGTAGATAATGGATAATGGATGTTGGGGGTTCGATTTTGGAGAAGTAAATAAATAGAATAAATAGAATAAATAGAAGTCCATAGAGTGTGGAGTAACGTCATGAAGAAAATAGGACGATGATGGCTATTTGGATGGGGTGGGGAGGGGTCTAGGAAGACCTTTCTGGGGGATGATATTTGGGCCAAAAGGTAAACCACAAGAAAGAGCCAACCATCTGAATCCAGGGGAGTGGGGCTTTGCAGACCTCGCAGGCACTGGTCCTGGTGCAAAGGGGCTGGTGTACTTGTGGGAGAGAAAGACGTTTGGTGTAGGGGAAGCAAACTATTGACTGAGCTACAAACTGTCCTTTGTGCCAGGATAGAGGGGTTCTTGGCTGGAGCCCATTGATTAAAACCAGAGAAGGTACAAAGCTGGACTGAGTAGGGTCTGGGAGGCCACATAGGGAGTTTGTTGTGTTCAGTGGACAACCACTGGAAGTCTGCAACAGGAGACTGTTAGGACACAACCTGTATCTTTAAATGTGACTCTGGCTGCTGTGCAGGAAATGGACTTCAAGGGGCAAGAATTTATTTATTTTTTTTTTATAATTTTTTTTTAGATTTTATTTATTTATTTTACAGATAGAGATCACAAGTAGGCAGAGAGGCAGGCAGAGAGAGAGAGAGGAGGAAGCAGGCTCCCTGCTGAGTAGAGAGCCCGATGCGGGGCTCGATCCCAGGACCCTGGGATCATGGCCTGAGCCGAAAGCAGAGGCTTTAGCCCACTGAGCCACCCAGGTACCCTGAGGGGCAAGAATTAAAAAAAGAAAACAAAAACAAAAACAAAAAACCATTTAGGCGGCTGCTGAAGTGGAACAAGAGGGAAGTCAGAGGGGGAGGTGGCCTTCATGGGCCTTTGTGGGGGTTTTTGAGAAAGGATCTCAGGACTACTTTGGGGAGCAAGCACGATTTACTGATGGAGAGGATGTAGAACGTGGGGAAAAGAGAAGATTCGATTGGTGACTCCTGACAGTGGTTGGATGGTGGGCCAGGCCATAAAAATGGGAACGACTAGAAGAATGGCAGGTGGGAGAACCAAGAGTTTTGTTTAGGGGTTATAAATTTGAGATCCCAAGGAGATGCCAATGGAAAGTAGGCCGTTGGACACAGGGATGTGGGACTTGGACCAAAGATACGATATTAGAAGTCATCGGGTAGTGTTTATAGGTCTTTGGTTTTATGAAATATCCCTGAGACGAAGAAACCAGAGCCAAAGAGGAGCTGTCACTTGGAGGCGGGTCAGTGACTGGCATGTGCAGCAGCTTAGGGCCTGGTACATGGTAGGGGGTCAACGAGTCTTTGTTGTAGAGTCAATCAGCGCGGGTTGCTGTCACTCACAAGGTTTCTTGAACAGCTTGTTTCTGAAGTGAGATTTATGGGGATCACAAGCTTGAGAACAAGAAGACAGAGATCTTTTGTTCATCTTGGTGCATTAAAGCTGTTTTGTGAAGTGAGGTGTGGCTATGTTAATAGGCGTCTGGGATGGTCGAACTGAGGCTGGAGAGTCTGACCCAGAGACCCTGCTGTCCAGTGTGAACGGCGGGAAGAGCATTCCCCATATCCAGATGCCTGTCTCCCCGCTTTGCTGCTGGGAGAACAAAGCACATCGAAGCGGGGGGACCCAGGGTGCCCTTGGCTCTTTGATATGCCAGCTTGCAGGCAGCGATCTCTCCACACACGCGCCCTGCCCTGCTTCCCGATACCTTTCCTAGCTGTCAGCCTGGCCTCATCGCCGGGGTTGCACGGCCTCTCAGTGCTCTCACCGAACCCTTACCACACCCCATCAGGCAGGTACCATTTCCCCATATTTCACAAGAGTGAGGCTCAGAGAAGCCAATAAGCAGCTCCAAATCACACAGCTAATATGTATCTGAGCTAGATTTTGACTTAAAATCAAGACTGGTACCAAAACCTTGATGCCTTTTCCAGATAAAAACCCGAGGCTCCTGGGGGCTCCCGAGGAATGAGGGCAAATGGCTTTGCATGCGGTGACATACTGAGTTCATGGTGCCACCGATGGTGTGGACACAGGTGATATCCCCAGCCCCGATACTTCTATCCCCAGCTGGCCTCTTTCCTGCCCATGATCTTCCCCCGGATCTGGTTTCCAGGGCCCCGTCTCCTAACTCGTCCAGGGAAGCGCCCAGCCACCTCTCCCTCAACATTTTGGCCACACCTGAACTAAGAAGTGAATTAAGTGCTAGAGACCATGATGGGCTGGAGGTGAGCCCACCATCCCACCTTCCTCATGGACCTAGGGTAAACTGAGGCCTTGAGCTCACTGGCCTGGCCTAGTTGACACTCACCTCCTCTTTTGGCCTCCAGTGTCTTGGCCAGGCTTGTAGTTAAGGCCTTCCTCAGTTAACGGGGAAGCTCCCTTTTTGGGAAGTCAGGAGAAGCCACAGTCATTAATAATGGAGATTGGGCACCAGAACAGGCCAAAAATCATAAAGAGCAGGGAGAGACTTCCTAGTCTATAAAAAGCGCACCCCATCCAACCATCTATGGACACAGACTCAGCACAAATAAAAACCCAGGATCACAGGAAATGGGTGACTATATTTTAATAAATCAAAGTTTGGAATCCGAAGCCTTAAACAATTCCTTGGAAAATTCCAGGAAAGACAGTCATTTGAGTGCAGGTTCACTTATCCCCATGTATACTATTATGCGTGCTGAGGTTCTGTGTTTGTGGAGGGGAAGGGAGCACAGCAGGGCAAGCTAAACTCCTAAAAAAAGACCAAGTTGAGGGTGGCGTGAATTAACGGGAACTTCTCGAATGAAACTCCATGTTGCTACAAAATATTGTGTTCTGATTTGCCGTTACAGTAACCTGAAACAGAGAAGACAGTCATTGAGTACAGAAAGCTGGCCCCCGTGTTCAGTGTACACAGTGAATATCGTGATGGCCTTACGGCTTTGCTGTGTTCAAATTGTTTGTTGTAAGGTCACAGCTAGAGGTGGCTGTGATTCAACGGCACCCTCCAGGCTCTTCCTGAACTCTCTGGGGGCTAGAGAGGGGTGGAGAGCATAGGATCTGCTGTCTGAAAATCTGCCTTTGCCTTGTCTTAAACTCGCCTCACTGTATTTCAAAGGATCAGGGACACATCCTCCTATTTCGGGAATTGGGGGCCTGATTTGCCTGGCCTCAGCAGCTGTGTGGGTGGCTTTATGGAATGTTCACCGTGTCGTGTGTCAGGTGTTACCAGGCAGTGCCACAGGGGGCTTCGGGTCACAGAACAACCTTGGTTTACCTCCAGCTCAGCTGCCTGTGGGAGACCTTGGGCAGCCTGTGTGATCTTGCTTTGCCTGTGTTTTCTCATCGGTAGAACATGGATGTGAGAGTACGTCCCAAGGTGCTCTGAGGGCTGGGGGGTGGTAATGCAGGTAAATGGCATGGCGTGGGGCCTGGCTGTGGTGAGATCCTTCCCCCGCCCTACATTTAGGCTGCGCCCGGGATGAAGCATCAAAAGCTTGCTTTTTTTTAATGTTTTTGTTTTGGGTTCCTATCTGTTGTGTGTCGTGTGGGCCAGCTAATTAGATGACCAACAGAAAAGTTCAGTTTTGCTCCTTTTCTGCATTTTAGCAGTACCGATTTGGACTTCGAAACTCGGTTTCCTATGAGAATGAGGGAGTGTCGTTTCAAAACAGACTGCGCACTTCCTCCAGAACGTTGTTGGTTTTTAAATCAAGATCCGACAAAGGTAACATCTATGAAAAGATTCAATGATTGTTCCAGGGAATCTCAAAAAAAGTAAGTGAGGAAGTCCAGTGAGGCAATTTCACGGTAATTTAGTTCCATGTGAGAAAAAGAACATTTGTTGAAATGGTTCTATTTTGAACTTTGCTATGGTGATGTCTCTCTTTCACTTTTTACGCCAAAGGCCACGTTAGCTGCCCGGCCCTTCACTGGCATCACTGAATCTCTGGATAATGTGAATTCAGTCAAATGGTTTTTTGGGGCAGTGGAGCCAGGGATAAAATCAAGTGGCCACAGGTCAGGGCTAGGGGAGCAGATAAAAAGGAAGCGCCTGTCTTCCGCAGCTTTACCTCATTAAAAATGCCCGGCTTTACCCCCACTCCTTCTGGAACAGTACCATGAAAAATCTGGTCAAGAAGGACCAAGATGGGACCCCTGGGTGGCTCAGTCGGTTAAGCATCTGCCTTCGGCTCAGGTCATGATCCTGGGGTCCTGGGATCGAGTCCCACATCGGGCTCCCTGATCAGCAGGAAGTCTGCTTCTTCCTCTACCTTGCCACCCCCCACCACCACTCATGCTCTCTCTCTCTCTCTCACTCTCAAATAAATAAAACCTTAGAAAATTTTAAAAGAAGGAGCAAGCTAGGTCCCATGGGGCTTCTCAGACTCCCTGTTTTCTCCTGCACGCAGGCCCAAATGCACTGCCCACTGACCCCACAGGAAGAGTCAGCAGCGCCCTGCTCCCCGCCGCCCACTCACCGTTGTGGACAATCAGCCTGTACTGTCTGGCCAGGCAGAGCTCCTCCTGCCTCTGCCGCACGATCCTCTGCACTTGCGGGGGAAGGCCGTGGGGGTCGCGGGAAAACACGAAGGAGTAGCTGTCAGCACAGGTGCCGTCCAGGTTCAGGAGGCGGCAGGAGTACTGCACGGCGTAGGTGTCGTAGTCCGTGTCAATGACCCAGTGGTCATCGTCTGCAAGCCAGAAAGCCACAGATCCAGTGTCTCTCCCCTGGCAGGCTCAGGGGCCAGGGAAATACCCCCCTCGAGAAACCAGCACCTTCCTGAAACTGGTTTCATTTCTTTAGGAAGCAGGAGGCTACAGAGAATTCTGATGGCTTTCATCAAATTGGGAGGACATAGAAAAGAACCCTAGGGTCGGGAGGTAGTGGGGGGGGGGGCTCGTTCACTTAAATGATCATCTCTCACCCTGACAATAAATATGCTATATCTGTCCAAAGAACAACTGAGAATGTGAGCCCACTGAAACCATAAAACAGACCTTCTTACTGCGGTCTTCCCCATCTAGTCTCCAACAACATCTGTGCTTTTGTGGCTGACGTCTGATGGCCGCCAGCTTCTGTCTCGCTGCCTTCCTGCCCCTCCATCCACAGGAGGATGCTTCACAGCTACCCTGCTCCAGCCTAATTCTGCTTGGTGACCTCATTCCCTTCTCCTCGCTGGCAAAAGAGAGTGGTTTTTGTGTCCAGGGTACAAGAGGCCCACCCTCCGACACCACAGAGTCTTTCTCAGAGCTTGTACTTTTCGGATCTCCCCAGGTAGAGGCAGAGCTGAGCCCCCGAAGAATTCAGGTTCCATTCATTCCTGAGGTCACAGCTAGATGTGGTTGTAAGACAGGAAGAAGTGTACGCAGAGGTGGTATAAGCGTCAGCAAAGGCAGGATGAGAAATAACGTTAATAAGAACGTACGCTGGAGAGATTGGCGCTGGAGAAGCAGCAATGCTCAAGTGTATCCAGACACCTTAGACGGGGTGAAAAGTGGTACATCTCTACTTAATTTAACGTTCTCATTGACACAGAACTACGGCGGGGACTTTATGAGCTCTTAATTATTTATCTGTCACCGTGTAGACAGATTCCGTGTTTTCTCAATTATCCCTCACGCCTACCCAGAAGTGCACGCTGTTATTTCTATTTTACCGATGGGGAATCTGAGGCACAGAGAAAGTAAGTAAGTTACTCAAGATCACAAAGAGCAGGACAGAACCGGAGCCCACATGCCTAATGTCTCCATTATACTGTCTCCAGGCAGTAGGTAAGTTATGGGGAGAGGGGACAAGACAAAAGAAACAAATGCCTCTATGCTTCTGTCTCACGCCCAGGCCATGAAGCAGGAGATGGTCTCTGCTCTATGTTGGTTCCACGTGGGAGGAATGCAGAGGAACCCGGGTCCCCCAGCATCCAAGACCATAAGGGAGGCCTCTCTTGCCCACCTTAAGTCACCTCTTGGCTCTGAGAACCCCTGGAGTACCAGCCTAGGAGGGGCTGGGCCTGAACTCAGACCTGCGGGACAGCTGCCCAGGAGTTGGTCCTGGAGCCCCCCGTTTGGCTCCCTTCAGGCTCCCCAGGAGGAAGAATGAGCCACCACTGTACCTCCCAGGCCTTCCCACAGGACAGTGTCAGAGGCCAGAGCTGGCGGTGGGGGGGCTGACACACGACCGTTCTGTTATTCATCGGACAGGCCAGGAACAGAAGCCATGGGGCCGCCTGCTGGGCCTCACCCAAACCACGGGCTCCCCTCACAGGCTCCTGAGCCTCTGGGCCGTCTTCCTCCTCAGCAAATGAAGCCATTTCTTCCTTGATGGTGGGGCTCAGTGTGTCAGCCGGAGGCGCCCCAGCAGCCTGCCCCTCAGACACACATGCACTCTTCTTTGAAATGTCACCCCTATTCATGTCGAGGCAGCTATAAGCTCAGCCAATCGGCAGCTTAATTTCCTTTTTCCAAGATTGTTGCTAGGAGTGAATTCTGACATAGGAACTAAGTAACTTCTAATGCTTGGTTTTAAGAAAATGGACTACTGTTCTTCACTTTAAAAGAAAGGCCTAAGTTTGGTTTGGTTTATCTCCAGGCTCTTTTTGGTTAAATAGTTCAAAGACAACGAAGAATTCAAATCCTAATGATCTTTACTAGACTCTCTCTCCTGGGATGGGAGATGAGCTGCCTGAGTGCGCCGTGAAAGAATGAACTTGGTCCTCCCAACCCCAAATTCTTTGGATTGAATTATCTAGAGCAGTTTCTTAAGCTTCATTGTGCAGAAGGAGCATTCCTAAGGACCACAGGAAACCTAAAGACTCTGGGGCTCCACCCCTAAGACTTTCCGCTTCAGTAAGTCTGGGTTTGGGCTCACAAATCTACACTTTTCACAAGCAACCAGCTGATCTATCTAGAAGTAGGTGGTCGAGGGACCCCGGCTTCGAGAAACTGCTATAGACAAGCAGGCCCATGTTATTTAGCCTGCAAAGGTCTCTTTACCAGCAGAGGAACAGGCTTTATCCAGAAAACAAAGGACAGTCTTTGTCCAGGTCTTTCAGGAGAGGCCCAAAACAATGATGATCAAAGCTGATATTTTCTGAACACTTATTATGCACCAACTTAAGTGTTTTTCATGCATTACCTTAATGTGTCCTCCCAACAATCTTAGGAAACAGGGGCTATTCTCTATCTCCATTCCACAGATCAGGAGGTCAAAGTTCAGAGAGGCTAGTCAGTGATGAAACCTGTGTTCAACCAAGACCGGTTGACGGCGGCACTCCATAACCCCCGAGACGTCCTGCTTGCTGCTGGTAGAGCAGGGGCAGAAGGAGGCCAGTACAGAACACGCCCCAGGCTGAGGCAGCAAGCCAGGTCTGAGTCTGCCGACACTGAAATTTAATAATGAACTGCGGAAATCTATTTACACTTAATTTTCAAATGATATGACTTAGGGATTTAGATTAAGGGAGCATTTGTGCCCAAGTTATTTTCTCTGCTAAAGCACACCTCATTTTAAACACACCTGTTTGGTGAAAGGCAGCACATGTAGAAGACGAGAGACCGAGAATGCAGGCCACTCTCTGAGGCCTCAGGCCCTCCCAAGCAAGTCAGGGTTTAATGCCAGACCAAGGTCAAGGAAGAAAAAATTCGGCACAAGGAGAGAAAGCAGGAGTTTGTAGAAGCCCCACCCACACACCCCCAAAGCATGGAAAACACAGGAAGTTTGAAGCATCAAATCATACAGTTTGTGGGCTACTTAGAAAACAGAGGGACGGCTCATGCCCTTTCTCATGCCTTGGGCAAAGAGATGTCACACAGGGCCACTAAGTAGCCACGTGGCCCTGGGCCAGTGACTTGGCTAATAGAGACCTCAGTTTCTTCACTTGGAAAATGAGAGGCTTAAACGCCGGGTCTCTGTGGGACTTCTCATCCTGTGCTCAGAAGATAAAATACGATTTTTACCCAAAGCCCGGGTACTATACACTTACAGAGGACACATGTCTCAGACCCCACTCTGACTCTCTACAGGTTACCTCACTGCATCCACCTAAGGCAGCAACATGAGGCAGGCACTACGATCACCTCCTCTGCAGAGGGGGAGACTGAGGCACAGAGAGGACAAGGAACACCCAAGTTCTCACAGGTGGCGGGTGGAGTTAGGATCTGCACTTGAGCTGTCTGACTTGAGACCCACGTGCGTGGCCACGCACAGCCCTGCTGCTTTCTGAAAGGGGTCCTCGCGAGGAATTAAGTTCTGAGCCTTCCCTGTTGTAGTCGCCCCACTGAATATCTGCGGCCATCACTTTCCAGATTTCAATAATTTGGGTTTTTTTTTTTCCCTCCAAATGAAATCCTGGATTGAATCTCGATCTACCAGAGGTAAGAGCAAAACGAATCTGGTTTGGTAGGAAGAGGGGGAAAAAAGAGGCAAACCTCACCTCCTCATTGGGGCAACGTCCCACCTTCCCAAATGCACTACCCACGGAACTCTAGTCCTCTCACGAGTGCATCTTAAAAATGCAAGAGAATTATGTGTTTACATTGACTAAAAGTTAATACTCTCGTATCCCCAGTATTGATTTTTTTAGTTCATTATCAGAAAAGTGTGCCTTTCACACTAAATGAATCATTCTAGCAAGTTTTGCTACATTATTTGAAATAATTTTTACTTCTTACCTGGGAGTCGGAACCCCTGGCTTTTGACACTGGCTCCCACAAACTTGTATGACCATGGGCAGATCACTACTTTCTCTTGGTCTCAGTTTACTCATCTATATATTGAAGCCCCTTTGTAGGGTTAACTCTCCATCTCTAAGATCCCATGATATGTCCCCCCTGGCCTACCTTGTTCTCTAGGTACCAAAGAGATTCCAGATTTGAAACTTAAGAGAAATGGAAAGAAAGTAGAAAGGACATGTAGATGATGTGTTCTCAGGATCAGCCCAAATTATAGATGCCTTTGTGAGCATCTTGTCCCCCATCTGAGTTTCAGTTCTTAGAAGAAGGGAAGAGGTCAGTAGCACCCAGAATGCTATATCTGGCTCAGTATCTCAGCATCTGCAGGTAGGGCACCCGGAGTGGGCCAAACCTATGCACAATGCTCCCTACATCCTTGAATGAGGGTCTCTCAGCGTTTGCAGGAGGTCCCGGAGTAATCAAGCTGTCCCAGGGATTCAATCCAATGAAATGGAGGAAATACAAAACCAGGTAGAGGGGTGATGTGGGAATGGGTCTTGGGGGGGTGCGACGTCTTAGCATGAAGACACACCTTGGCACAGTGGCTGGACACAAAAAGGGCAGACGGAGGTCAGTGACAAGCCCAAAGTTCCTTCTGAGTGTGGGCCAGGCGTTTGGAGCTAAAGGCGAAAGGTGGGCCGGGAGGGGGGGCCTCACTAGTCCCAGTCTCACCTCCCTGACCTCAGGCCCTGCTGAGGGTTCCTGCCATGTATAGACCATTCTTTTCCAGGCTGCCACTGGAGAAGAATCCCAGCAATTTGGTCAGGTATGACCCCCATCCCCAGAGACGGTTCCATTGAATTGACTACTCACTTCCTTTCTGGAGATAGGACGCTACGCCCCAATACTTCATCTTGAACTTAGCAGGGTCCTCTGTGTCTGTGAAGGTGCCCACCATGTCTGCGCACACGTCCCAGTTACTGCAAAAGCCAAGGAGATCCTAAGCCAGGCCTGCAAAGGGCTTCCTCCCTCCATCCCACCCTGAAAGCCCCCTCCTTCCCCAATCAGGGTTTCCAGCTCAGCCGGGGGTTGGGGGAGAGGGGGGCTCTGACTTCAAAAGACGGACTCGGCCCTTGGCCGTGGCGCTCATCTGGCCATTCTCATCCACGGAGAACTGGGCGACGATGTTGTCCTGCAGAAAGAGGCCCTCGGGGTCCTTCTTGGCCATGGCGTACCAGGTCCCGGCGAACTGCGAAAGAGGTGAGTGCTGGGTTTGGTGGTACGGCATGCACGCCGCCGGGAAGGGAGAACGCGGGGGACCGGGGACCGCGGCCACGGGGCCGCCCGGCCGATACCTACGCGAGCCTTGTCGAAGTTCTCCTTGACTCGGAAGCTGCTCACCCGGCAGTCGCGCTCCGCCCCGGCGCTGCCCAGCACCGCCAGCAGCACGAGAGCCCACACCCACGCCATCGTGCCCGGAGTCCTTCCTGCGGGGACCGCGCGCCATGAGCGCCTGGCCGCGGCCCCCGACCCTGTCCGCCCACGCCCGCGCCCCCGCCCGGACCCGGACGCAGGCACGGCCCCGACCCCGGCCCCCGGCCGCCTAGCCACCGCTCACCGCCCGGAGCTGCGCGTGGAGCCAGGGGAGCAAGCGCGCCGCCGGGGGCCGCCGGGCCGCTTTATAGCCGGGGCGGGAGGGGGTCGCGCTTTCGTAACGGCCGGGGTGAAAGACCGAGGGGAGGCGCCGGGTCGGCCGGCCAGCACTTGCATAACGCGCCCTGACTCACCGCCGCCGGGGCGCGGGGAGGGTCCCCTTGGGCGGGAGCCTCACCTCCAGGGCCGCCGCGGGCTGTGCAGGGGCCGCGCGGGGTGGCCTCGGCGGAGCCCAGCTCCCCACGGCGCCGAGCCGCGGGAACAAGCCCTGGCCTGGTCGCCGGGTACCCGTGCCAGCGGCCGCCAGCTGCGGCCTGGGGTGGCCTCGGGGGCCCCCGGCGGCTCTGGCGGGAGGCGCGAGTCGGCCTGGCGCGCGCACCGCGGCCTCCCAGAGAGCCGGGCCCCGTGATGCCCCCGGTGCCTTAGCGCCCGCGCCCCGGCCCTGCCAGACCGGCCTCCCTGCCCTCTGAGGGCCGGTCGTGCAGGGCGTCGGGAATATTTCGGCCAAGTAGTTTTTCATTTTTATAAAGGATGCATTTTACTCTTTCAGGAGAGTTGTGGTACCTTCTGGGTCAATATTTTTCTTTAGTTTCAACATCTTTAGAAGCATTGAAACCTTCCCTGTTAAATATTCTCCAGAAGCGCACCTGGGTCAGGGCAGGAAATGCTTTAGCAGCCTCGGTGGTTGCCTCCTTGCTGTGTGGCACTTCGCTCAAACCACTTGCAAGCGCGCTGACCAATTGTTTATGGTTTGCAAGGCCCTAGTGGAGTTTGTTTTGTTTTCAAAACCGCTAAGGTGAGTTCGCCTGAGGAGCGGACAAAGCGGGGAGGTGAACAAAATTCTGTAGGCAACGGTCAATTGAGTCAAAACGCCGCGAGGGGTTATTTTGCCTGCGTGATGGCACAATTTACTGAGTGTCAGGATTGCAGGTCCTCTAATGGATCAAAGAAGTCACAAGGTGCAGCTTTTGGCTGAATGACAGCCGGTAGTCTAGCAGAGAAACAGGCGCCTTCCTCTAACTCTTTGGACATCTACCCGCCTGGTTCTCTGCTTCCACTCGCCACCTTCCCCTCGGTTCCTGCTTCTCAGTTGAGTGGTTAGGGGTTCCCCGGAAATCCAAGAATGGCGCATTTAACTCCTTCCTGCCCGTTTCTGGCCAACCAGCTGACTGCTGACTGCAGTTTTATCCCAGGATGTATAATCCCAAATAGCTCCCGTAGGGACCACATGTGGGGATACACCATGGTCGCGTTGGGTGTGCTCTCCGTGGCAAGGGACCGTGGGGCATCTTTCTCCGGTCCAGTGCTTGGATCCATTCCTCGGCATCCCACAGTCCGGAAGGTCTTCCAGCTTCTCCTCCAACACACCCAGTGATGGAGGGAGAGCCTGATTGCCTTTGGACAGTTACCACTGCCAGGAAATCCTCCCAATAGCCCCCTCCCTTTCATCTGTTTCTTCTAGAACATATTCAGGTGGCCTTTGCACATGCTACAGAAATGTTGACGGAATAGAGGGAATTTCAGTGCATTGTTGTATGGATTATTTTTGCAGCATGTTTTTTCATTTATGTGTTAGATGTGTAAGAGGGGCTGTAACTGCTCCTCCTTCTCTCTTTTAATGATAAATCGTGAACCTTGGTGTCCTAGATGCCAGCAAAGAAAAAGTTTATTTTGGCATTCTCTCTTGAATTTCTTCATGATTACAAATAGGTGAATACAGGTCAACTGAAGTTTTTGGCTTCAGTGCTTTGAAATTTGTCCTCATAAAATATTTTTTCATGTGCTTGTGTATGTATAATATAAACAGAATCTCCATGCAATAGAATTAAGGACATTCGATTCATACTTTTTGTACTTTCCAAATTTTCCTGTGGCGAAACTGTTTAATCAGAAAACAAAACAAATATTCTTATCGCAAACATTTTTCTTTTTCTAACGATGAGATTTTGTTTTAAATGACATCTTAATGGATGTAAGTGTAATTGTATATAATATACACAAAAGTTCATTTTCTGCCATACTTCATGAACAGGCTGGGATTCATTCATCTTGTTATCTGCCCCTCCTGCCAACTTTTCCATGAGATTTACCTTGACTTGCGCTTACTAGATGCTCAACTAATAGATACGGACTTGATTTGTTTTATTGAAATTAATCACGTTAGGTTAAACTTCATAAAATATTCATTTAAAAAGATTTGGTCGGAGGTCGTTGTTTCTAAAATATAATTTCTCAGGGGGCGCCTGGGTGGCTCAGTTAGTTAAGTATCTGCCTTCAGCTCAGGTCATGATCCTGGGGTCCTGGGGTTGAGCCCCATGTTTGGCTCCCTGCTTCTCTCTCTCCCTCTGCCTCTCTCTCCACTCATTCTCTCTCTCTCTCGCTTGCTTGCTCTCAAATAAATAAAAAATCTTAAAAAAATAAAATTTCTCAGAATTTAGCACTTGTAGCCGAGGTTGCTAGTTAGTCTTCCACCAAAAAATTTGCATTCCTCTTCCATGGTGTAGAGTTGTTGGGAAGATACTTCTCTGCCAGATGGAACCTCCCCACTTCCTGTAGCTCTATAAAGCCACATGCCTCAGTGTGGTGGATGGAATGAGGACAAAAGTGCTGTGTGTCACTCCCAGACAGGACTTGTAAAAGTTTCCTGTCCAGTTAGCCTTGCTGTCCCTCTTGTCTCCTCTGCCAGCTTGTGGAGCCTCCATCAGCTTGGGACCCCACCAGCTACTGACTTTCTGTGAATGAAAAATAAACTTTCACTGGATTAAGCTGCTGAGATTTGGGGCAGGGGGTGGGGGGGCACCTGTAATAGAAGCTAGTGCTGCCTTACCGAATACAGCAGCAAGCAGGCTCCTGGGAAATAAGGAAAGATATGTTACCATAATTGAAAGGAGAGCTGATGCAAGAACTTTATGTCCTCAGCCTCATAAAAATGAAGCATTTCAAGCCAAGCTCCATTTTGTGCAAACTGACATTTACATCCACATCCTGACAGGCCAAGAAAAATGAAAAACAAGGAAATGGGGTAGCATTTATCTTCTGACTACATTTAAACGATGCCAAAATAATTGGTGGGAAAATGAAAAGATTATTCGGCCAGCTTTTTCAGGTACAAAGAGTCAAACTAATTTCTTCAATAAGGCTTCCTTCAGTGGTTACAAAGCCATCAGACAAGGTCCTCAGTTCAGGGGGAAATCACATGTATCCCACCAAGTGAGTTATTTTGAGACACCGCATCACACCCAACAATCAGGTGTGCACAGAGATTCCTGGGAGCAGATGTGCAAGATGAAAGAGCCCATTTGCACTTGGCTGCTGGGACAGGCCTGTAATCCCTACCTTTTGCGGGTGCCATTCCGTGATGAGTAATGGTAGGAATGGAGACTCTGGGTAAGGTGCAGCCAAGAAGTGAACTCAGTGCCATGGTCTGGAGGACACTGGGTGAATCCAGGACATTGTTAGACTTGCACTGGGGCTTCAACCTCAGGCGCACGTGCTTTAGCTATTACATAAGCATTGCTTCCTGTTGAAATGCTTAAGTGCAATGATAGTGTTAGGCACTACGCATGTTTATGAGTAGACTATCGAAAAATTTAAACTTGCTAAGCAGAAAATTTAAGGAAGAAAAATCATTCTTTGGTATATCTGTAGGCTTTTTAAAAAAGATTAATTTCTTTGGGAAAGAGAGAGAGAGAGAGAGTGCATGGGGAGGGGAGAGGGAGAAAGAAACCCAAGCAGACTCTGGGCTGAGCACAGAGCCTGGAACCCAATGCAGGGCACCATTTCACAACTCTGAGATCGTGACCTGAGCCGAAACCAAGAGTGGGACACCCAAATGACTGTGCCACCCAGGTACTCCTCTGTAGGCTTTTTAAAAGAGTTCTTGGAATTTTTATTTAATTTTTTAAAAATTGGTGTTTAATAACATTTTCTGATATATATATATATCTTTTTCTGATATAAATATATATTTTTTCTGAATATATATATATATTCACTGTGTGTGTATGTGTATATATATATGTATGTATATATGTGTGTGTGTGTATATATATATATATAAAGTTCCTTACAGGAAATGTCTTTGTATATTCCCCTAGAGCAGCTATTATGATGTATTGTGCACCTCATAGGTACCCTTTTTTTTTTTTTTTTTAGATTTTATTTATTTTATTTGACAGATAGAGATCACAAGTAGGCAGAAAGGCAGGCAGAGAGAGAGAGGAGGAAGCAGGCTCCCTGCCGAGCAGAGAGCCCGATATGGGGCTCGATCCCAGGACCCTGGGATCATGACCTGAGCCGAAGGCAGAGGCTTTAACCCACTGAGCCACCCAGGCGCCCCATCATGGGTACCCTTTTTAATCTAACCCTATGAACTGACAGTTTTGGGATAGGTCACTATCACTTACTAGCTGTGTGACCTTGAGCTAGTTACTTAATTTCTTTGTGCTTTGATTTCTTGCCTGTAAAATAAAGACAATAATAGTACCTACCTCCTTGGGTTATTGGAAGAATTAAATGACATAATATATGTAAGGGTCTTAGAAGAGGACATGGCACAGATTATATAATATAATGTTAGCTATTCTATGATCTCTTTTTTATTACCAATACCTTGTGGCTTATATTTCTAAAAATATTCTGAGTAAATGGAATGGAGTTTTCACATTGACCTGGTTGTTGTTTCAGAGACTTTTATCTAAATAAATGATAATCAATGTCTGTAATATCTTAGAAATGCCTAAAAACTAAACAGTGACGTTCAACAAAGTCAATAAAACAGTGAAGTTCAGCAACGAACAGTGAAGTTCAAAAAAGTCAACATGTATTGTGTCGCATTAGAAATTCATTCTAAGTGGTCCGTTCGGTAATTCAAAAAAATATATTATTTGTTTCTTACCTTTTTTTTTCAGTGCCTCGGGCTGACCAGCCAGTAAGAGACACAAAGGTCTTGTGAGCTCACTCTTGTGATCCAGGAGGAAGGGCAATGAAGACAAGGGGATTCAGTCAAAGACAAGAAAAGGAGAGAGAGATTTG